TAGGTGCTTTAGACCACTGAGCCATCTCTCCAGCCCCCAATTTTGTTTCTTGAAGTATAGCTAGAATATAAGCAAAAAGAGATAAGTCGTAAAAAGAACTAGGAGTCGCAAGTCTCTGTATATAAACAGGAAGATGCTGCACATTTTCATAAGCTGTCTCCTTAAAGTGCCCCAACAGCGCTGTGACGTAGGTGTCAGCTTCCTCATTGTCTAAGTGAGGAAGCTGAGATTCAGAGTACTTAAAGAGTTCTCAGCTCTTCAGTTAGTTATAATGTCATAAAGCCAGCTCTAATGAAAGACACCAGCTTCCCAAATGTCAACTCGTGTAACTAATATCATTAAAGACCATAAGAGCATGGTTAGTTCCAATGAAGAACGCTTTCCCACTATGGAGGTGATGGAGCTGGCAGTTATGAAGCCATGAGGGAACAGAAAAGTAAAGATAAATACTATTTAGGTAACACTGCATTCGTGGACAAATTCTAGTGATTAAAGCATTCCAGGAACAGGAAGGGACTTGGCCCATTTCTCCCATAAGGCATGTGGTTTTGTACATCTTTAGTTTCTTTGGTTGTCACTGGGACTCTGAAGATAACCCAGTTCTGCTGAATTATTGACTAAATCCAGGCCATTTGCAAACTCCAGAAGAGACTCAAATAGTCATGCATTACAGAAAAGAGACAGGTAAAAGATGAGGTTGAGGTTGAGAAGCATATACCACGATAGCTCCTGACTGTCTCTATTTGGAGTTCACATACAAGTTTTCCTTACCCGTTTCCTGGTCTTGTCTTTAAGGAATGGCTTGATGAGTGTATACAGGGCGTGGATGTACCAGGGCTGGTTGACAAAATGGACTCCTCCAAAGCGGGCCGGAAAGCTGTCCTGGAAAGGAAAGAGAAAGGTACACAGGTGAGCTGCCATTGCAGGTCAGATGGGCTCAGCAAAATCGCAGCCTGGGGATCACCTATACTTGCTGGCTGGTGATTTAGTTTCCCTTTAGAGAAAGGATGAGAACACTTCACCTTCCTAGCTGTTATCAGTCAGCCACTCCTCTCTCCAATTTGACTCCATAACATAAAAGTTGTGCACAGCATCAGAACTGTCGGCTTGGGGCACAGGGGAGCCTGAGCTCTTCCTTAAGCGTAGTCAGCCCTGGCCCAGTTCCCATGGCTTGGAGTACAGAGCTCGCTCTTTTCTCTTGGGTTTCCTTCCTTTCCTCCCACTCTGCAAAGATGCTGCACTGTGGTGGGAACAGCTGAACATAGATGGCTGTGCAGGGAGGGCTGCGAAAGACTTGCAAGGGTCTCGGGAGGTGAGGCTTTCTGAACGGGCGAAGTCTGACAGGGTCTTCAAGGCCCTCTAAGACTCTGCTGCGATGCTTTCCCCTGCTCCCTGCTCCTCTGGGAGGACATAACAGCTCCCAGAGGAGGCATATGGGTTGGTCAAGGGTCAGTGGGTTTACGTAGGTAAGCCGGATGAGTATCATTTTTTTGTAGATCAACATGTTTTGTAAGCCCCTTAACTAAACAAAAAAGAGGGATACAAATGAACGACCATTTTGTATCTGTATATTCAAAACAGTTAGGATAGATATACAGCTGCATTCTCTTAATTCAATGAATAGAGAGATTTGTTCTAATAGTGTTTGTGGACAGGATATCAGTTCTGCATCTTGTACAATGAGTAACCACTAAGACAACAATGCTATGTATTAATTATTGAAACCGTGCTAGTAATTGGTTTTGAAACTGTCTCATTGCTACTTGTTTCTCAATAAAATTATTTTTTAAAAACATACTTTGTAAGTACCAGAAAATATGACATTTAAAAAATGGGTTTGATTTAGGATTCCAGATAAGCACGTGCACTTCTGAGAAGCTGTGAGCTGCTTTTGGTACAAATTAGAACCATGGGACAAGGGACACTGGCAATAAAGCCGTTATTAGTCCTAAAAGACAAGATAATGAGACCCTGAGGAACAGCTTTAGCACATTGGGCTCCTCTTGGCTAATGGAATTAGAAAAGAAGGAACATCTAAGCGTTCTTCGGACTGCCAAGCATGCTTTCAGTCGGTTTTATTGTGAGAAACGTCGTGGTACAGTGCTGGCAAGGTGAGGTGAGGGCAGAGGGAGCCCAGAGCTGCGGCAGCGAGCTGCGTTCTGCAGGGACACAGCGCCCTACCCACGCCGCCCTGCAGCAGTACACGCAGGGCCGCGCTCACAGCGCACCGCTCTCAGGAGCTGAAGCCTGGAAACAGCCCAAATGTGTACGAGCAGAGGGATGAATAAAGAAACCGCGGTATTTATACATAGTGGAATATTACTCTTCCATAAAGAAGATAAACCTTAGTCTTTTGCGGAAAAAGGAGGCACTTAGATACCATAATGTTGAGTAAACTAATTAGACAAACAAGTTTAGATATGACATGGTAGCTTTTCTATGAGAATGACAATTCCTTCTAACTAACAGTGGCAGTATGCAAATGTTCTGGGTGTTCTGGAGTGAGTCTGGCTGTGTCATTTTCCCCCCAATTTTTGTATAATATGGTTGCCATTTCTCATCATATACTGCAGGAACCTTCTTAATGGCATAAATAAGTATATATATACAGTGCAAAGCAAAGGACAGACAATGGGAGATAGTGAGATGGATTTTTTGCCATGTGGGAAAGGAACTAATGAAGGGACAAGGGAGAAAAAAGATTAGTAGAAGAGAGACTGTGAATTACTATATATGTCCACCAAGCCTCAAACATGGATTAAATATGTATATTTAATATATAGTAATATTACCAAGAAATAAAGGGAGAAAGGGAAAAGGAGGGCGAGAGAGAGAGAGACACAGAGAGAGACAGAGACAGATAGACAGAAAGAGAAAGAGAGAGAGAGAGAGAGAGAGAGAGAGAGAGAGAGAGAGAGACAGACAGACAGACAGAGACAGACAGACAGACAGAGAGGGACAGAGAAGATGGAGGGAAGCGGCTGGAATGGGAAAAGAAACACAAAAAGAATTATGACATTTTATGCACATGCACCAACTCTCATGAAAAGTGTGATCATTTTGTGCTGCAAACATTTACTAATACAATTTTGTAAAAAGTTTAATGTTATATAATTTTTTAAAAACCAAAGAAATGATTACCATAGATTTTCCCCTTGCAATAGATGCTGTACACTACTCTTGCTCTTTTTGGCTTCTTTTAACCTCTTCTTAAGAGACATCATTTATTATGTCCAATAATTAATTTCCTCACACAGCAAATGTGGGTCATAAGAGTCCACAGACGAATAAGAATAAGGTGTTTACTTGTAGAATACAGGCTTTTTTTTTTCTTTAATTGATGGAACCAGGGATTGAACTCAGGCCCTTGCACTTGCCAGGGAAGCATTTATTCTATTGAGCCATCTCCCCAGCCCCTCGTACCTTTCTTAATAGGACCAATAAGAGGTTTTTTATTTTTTACAGGTGGTCTTTGTACTCTACACCTTTTTAAAGAGACGAGGCAAAATCATAAAAAAAACACTCACATTTAAAAATACATAGAAACAGTTTCAGTCTATGAAACCTTAATCATCAAAGATGACAGAAACTGTGTTTTTGTGTGCCAGGGGAAGTTGAAAGAAAAATTACAGGGTAGAGACTTAAAGTTCTGTCTCCCTAGGTTGGCCCTGCCCAATAAATCTGCCAGAAAAGTGCCACTTTTATTGCCCTCACCTGGTCGGAGGATATATATATATATATATATATATATATATATATATATATATATATAGACTCTTGTGCCTTAGAGTTATGGGTCTGGGTGAGAGGAGAAACAGGGTCATTTTTCTCAGATCCCTCCTACAAAATCTGAATGACAATTCCTCCTAACAGAGACAATATACAAATATTCTGGGTGTTTCTGAATGAGTCTGGCCGGGTCATTTTTTTTCCCGATTTTTCCATAATATGGTTGCCATTTCTCTTCACATACTGCAGGAACCTTCTTAATGGCATCTGACCACGTTATCACTGAATGAAGTGTGTGTGTCCACATGTACCTGTGTGGCTCTGTATGTGCTGTGAAGCGAGGCAAAGGAAGGGTAGACTAGCGCACAGCAGCCTCTTAGGCTCAGCACCGTCACATCACTGCTGGCCATCTATACCTGCTCACACCAGCACACTGCAGAGCAGGGGATGCTGTCAGTTAAGCAAAAGTCTCCCAAAACACCAAGGGATTAGCAGAGCTTGGGTAAACACCTTCATCCAAGCGCAGTTTTAGAGGCTGGCTCAGATCTCTGTGAAGATGGCAGTTTGGGTCTTAGTGAGATATCTCTGTGGTCTAAGCACCTGCCTGGCAAGCACAAAGCCCTGCATTTGACCCCTACTACCACATACCAGCCTGGCCCCAGAACAGCAGGCACACTATGCCAGCCACCAAAACTGGGCATGGTGGCATACACCTGTAATCCCAGTGCTGGGAGGCTGAGACAGGAAGATTACTATGAGTCAGAGTTGTGTAGCAAGACCCTGTATCATATACAAAAAGAGGATAGTTTTGTAGAGTTCTTAGAGAATACTGACTACTTAATAAAACATACCCTAAGTTCAAGAAAACTGTATGAATTTTGTACATGTTACACACTTATAATTAAAAATATAGCATCAATCTAATGACAGCTGGGGGGTTCAAAGAGACTAAATATACAGCTATCATTCAACCCAGGTACTGCCTCTGAGCATTCAGTTCAGAAATAAAAACTTGTTGCTATGTTTGAGATCCAGTACCTTCCAGGTAAAGGCTCATTGTGTTGAAGCTTCATTACTGATGTACTTTTGGAACATGAATGGATCGCGGAGCCACTCCACAGTCCAGGCTCTTAAAGCTGCTCTGCAAGTGGCACTCAGATGCCCAGTGTAGTGTTTGATAAGAATTTGGGGGCAGCTTGATGCTAGAAAAGTGTGTACTCTTTTTCTCTGTGATAATCAAATACAAATGTTACTGGTAGCAGTGGGCTCAGTTTCCTGCTGGATAATAGAGCACTTACTAGTGCTATTTTCAAAGATTGCTAATGCCTGTAGGCTAACATACTTTACAAAGAGGTTTAAAATCATCTGAACTCAAAAATCACAAGGCCCTGGGAGGCTTGGGGGTACTTCCGTGTTGGCTGCCCTTTCTCTCATCTGTTCTTACCTCCTATCACTGCTCCTATGTAAAAACCACAACAGTCATTCAAATTTGCAAAAATAAGAGAAAGAAGCTGTATATCTATCCTATTTTGTATATCTTAGTTCAATGAGAAGAAAGATTTATACTAAAAGTGTTTAGACATCATGTCTGCATCTTGTAATATGAATAACCCCTACAAAGACAATATGCAATGTATTAATTATTATAACTGTCCTACTAATGTGTTTTGCAACTGTGTCATTGCTATCTCTCAATAAAATTAATAAAAAATTATTGTAAAAAACCACATATTTGCAAAAACAATCCCTTCACCTGCTATGATTCTTCAAAAAATGCTCTCAAAGAACAAAAGAAAAAGGATGACACTGAAGTTATCTTCTAAAGCTCCAGTCTCCTCTTTGGAGTAAGGGAAGCCTGGTATTCTAGGGCTTGGCAGGAGCACTCACATAGTTGTAGATTTGGAAGCAGGATAAGGATGCAGACCCGAAATGAGGTTTTACCCATTCAGCTCATGAATGTCCTCCCAGTGACATTCATTTCCCACTGCAAAGCAGGCAGATAAAAAACATTTTCAGCAGCATAAATGGGTTTCGTTGGTGTAAAAGAGTCATTTTAAAGTGCTGTATTTCATGGTAATGCATTTCTACAATACTGCAGGGCAATCATTAGTGTGGAAGCCACATATGCATCTATTTGTAAGGAAATAGAGAGC